CACAAGATTAAATTGTTAAGCTAACATTTTTCAAAATAGACTATCAATAAAAAACAATATAGTATTTATAAATGATTAGCTAAATATAAGAGTGGAGAAATGTATCTGTAATGCACATATATTTTTGGCAACTTAGAATATTTGTATAAGATTTATAGATGGCACAAATATATAGTTTATTATACAAAAAGTATATAAGCACTTTGTATCATTACTGGCTATTAATTATTGCCTGGTATAATGTTTCTTCATACAGAAGTAATTTCAATAGCAAAACGTGCTATTGTAACGGTTTCATATATAATCGAGACTTATATTACATAATAGCATTTGCATCGAATGATTTTTCAAACCATATGAGATGCTTTGAAGGAAATAAAAAATTAAGATAATATTTATGAGAGATATAATAATCGTTCACATATGCTCTTGTGACTGTATACAACTTAGCTATTTTATTATAATATATCCTAGACATTTGTAAAAATGATATTACAACTTGTAAGAAAAATGTATGTAAAAATCGGCATATTATATAAGTTAGAGCTGATTTCTTATTAAATGCAAATGGCAGTTAAAAACGTTGCTAAGGATATATATATAAAATTGAGCACATGTGGCAATGTACTATAAAACATATCTCATGATATATACATTTCATTAAGATAACCTCGATTGTATCTTAATGAATTTATGTAATTTATGTAATTGTATCACTCTATATTAAACCTACAACTTTCCACTCATGGAAACGAAGTATTGTAAATTAATGCTAAAATTACCCTAGATCAATTAGTTCTAAGGTTGATCGTAATCAATCAGTTTAAACGTGTTAATGGATCCGTACATATCAACCATAACATATTTAGTGAAATCTGAAGAGATGCATATTTTTGGATCCCGGCTTGGTGGCAATTCGACAACATGTAGTAATTCTGGCATTTTAGGATCTTTACCTATTTTGTTTCTCCAATATCTATCTAGAATCGATGCTTCATCATTTTGTAGATTAGATACACCAGCATCCACACTTGGACTGTTAGATATTTGTAGATTCAACAATGCATTTGTACTCAACGAGGGAGTGCTTGTACTGTGGCTAATGCCCATCCGACTTCTTCTCTTCTGACTGTCTCTATTATAATTTTTTACTAGAGCAACATTCCACCAAACTAATTCATCGCATGACAATGAAAACAAAATTGGAACATCTATAGTAGTTGGAGCCCAATGCAATTGTGTAATGGGATTAGTATGGAAATATAACCGAGTGATCTCCATTTGTTTGCGTATATCGATAATCTGAAAACAAAAAGCAGATATTACTTAAACATATTGAATTTATACGGATAGGACATATAAACATAAAAAGACTTACAGAAATTTGTCCTGATTCCAAGCCAACAGCGATATATTGTTCATTTTTCGAAATATCACACAAGGTCGCTTTCTGTGCAAAAGTGTACGTAAAATAAGGTTCGTTGCTAATTTGTATACGTATCGTTGACGACATTGCGTTTTTATGGATTATATGTAATAAAATTAAATCATACGATTCATTTAGAACCGCTAAATAATTTTGCTTGTAACTTAAAGAGCTGAATAAAATATGTGACAATGGATTAGACAAATTTACTTGGCTTCTTAACTCCCAACGCTCATCAATATACCATATTGCTATTATACCATTCTGCGTTATGGTTATCACATGATTATTGTTTATTTCGTGAATGTAATTTGCTTTAGTATCGACACCAAATATCGGTCTAGAATGTTGCCACACCTGTTAAAATGTTAAATAAAATATTTAAATTTGTTTAGTCATTCCATAAGTTTATACAAGAAATTATTGGGATACTGGATAATTTAACGCTCGCATGACAGTTATTGGTTATTATAATTAGAAAATCTAAATCCTATCATATAATTGTATGCAATATTGCAATACAATTTGGTATTCTAAATTAATGTTACAATCATTCTATTACTTCCGAGGTTAACTATTAATTTAAATGTATTAATAAACGCATAGATGTCAATTATATTAACATATATAAATTGAGTATTTTTCTGAAAATTTTTCGAGGATTTTATGGGCATTTTATGGAAGGTACAGGTATCTTATCGCATATTTATAAATATTATTTGTGTACCTTCAAATTATTATCCTTCCATCTGCAGACAACCATATTATGTTTATAATGATTGACAATTTTGACAAACTCGATTGGTTTGTCTAACTTCGAAATAAGTTCAGTTGCAGCTGTTTTTGTATTCAGCAATTGAATTTCTTTGTCTGTAATACATACTGCCTCATTTCCGTCGGCGGATAATTGCAAGCTTAATATTTTTCCTTCTATAAGTTCAGATTCGTTTATTATATTTTCCCCATGTGATACTATAATTTTCTTTGAAGGACTTTCTTTGACTACAATATCCTTTTTGCCGTAAGGCTCAACAATTGCATCAAATAAACATTTCCTAATAACAGAAAGATTATTGAAAGATTTAATTAAAAGTTTAAAAAATAAAATTTAAATATATAAAAAGAATACAAAAGAATATAAGCAATTAACAATATATTTACCTGGATAAGTATATTATATAATAATATATATAATATACCTAATTACCTGGGTAATTCATCTGATTCTTCTACTGGAAATTTCCATCTGTATAATATTCTGTCCCCATTTCCACATATCTGGAAGAAAGGCTCTTTTACTAAGGCTCCTGCTGGACTATTTTTGATTATGATGTCAGAAGCAAAAAAATATATGATAAATATTCTCGTAACATACATTAAAATAGAAATATTTTTCAATAAAACAATTTACATTCAATACAACAAACTTATAAAATGTATCGAAAACTTTCCTTTTACTTCGGTAGTCAATAAAAACCACATATTTAAAAAATGAATTATGCTTAATCAAAAGGGAAATCATAATTCTATTCAAGTTTAGGTATATGGTTATTAATTAATGAAGCGAAAGAAGATTTCATAGAATGAAAACGTTATTTTATAAAAAATCGTTTCCATTTTGCAATTTATTTTGCAAGAATATTCACCGTATTTTCTCGCTTCTGACGTCATGATTCAAGATAACTGCAATGAACTAGCAAGAACCTTAAAGATTTAAAGATAATTTTAGAGATAATTTTTGAAGATAATTTTGAATTGAATTAAATATATATGTATAATTAAACTAGTAAAAGAATGATACATACAATATGATAACCTTCATCTCTTAACCAGTAAGAATCCAAGGATATGACGCGACTTTTATAAGTCGCTACTGGCTGATATCCAGAATAGGTATTCCATACATTTATAAAACCCGCAGAATCAGCCATAATTATATAGTCACCATCATATGTTATAGTGGCGCATACATAAGTCACCGCATCATCATCGACAAATGCTCTCGTCTGTTTGCTGAAATTGCTTACACAATCACCATTCCACCACCATCTTACATACATGGCTTCCTTTTCGGTAATGACCATCAATGAATCGTCATGTTTGGGTATGTGATGAAAGAAGATGACCTTCTCAGTTGCAGATTTTAATTGTAGATTATAACAGGCATGATACTGATAAGTACTACGATCTTTTTTACTATTTGCATACAAGGCGAAAGCGCCCTTTGACTCATCCATTATATGTAGTATAAAGCAAGAAAGATGTGTCGTAAAGGCTATTTTCGTTAAATATTCACTGTAACAAATGCACATCATGTTATTTAATCATATAAATATATTCACAATTAATTCATAATTAATATATATAATTATACTTACTACTTGGAGTCTTTTAAACTAAATACTATTTTTCCAAGTCGGTCCCATACCTTAAAAAAAAAGAACATTAGATATCTGGACAACATATTATACAATATTTCTATGTAATTATTAATTGATAAAAATTTGAATATACATTATACATTCATTTTGTTAATTAATATACCATATATATATATATATATAAACCACATATATAGAAAATGAATTGTGTTAATAATATAATAATAAAAAAAGAATATTTCATAACAAATTAATATGTCCAAATACCTGAATCGTCGCTGCATTAGTACACGCAACAATGTATTGGTCCTTGTCGCCAAATGCCATGTCTAGTATAATTTCATTGTCTACCCAGAATTTGGCTATGCTGTCATCTTGACCTTTTGAATTTATGAAAAAGGGAGTATAACAACTTTGTTTACGTCGTGGGCTCTCAGTGCTATGACGCTGATCAGTTTCTTCTTGTTCGTCCAGAGGGAATAACATTATTATTCCAGCACTGCTTAACGACAAGAAACAATCACCATCCGTAGATACAATGATCTTTTTGATAGAATATTCCTCCCTATGACCATTAAAGATCTTTTGCTGCTTTTTAGAAGAGGAATCCCACAAAATTATTTCGCCGGATGTATTCCCGGTCAAAATTAATTCAGGATCATCTGTGAAAGCTGATGTGCAGATGCCCGTTGATATCTCTTCAGTCAGTGGCATATTGGAATTATGAAGACTTTTATTATGAGATAAATACAAATATTCTCGTCTTGTCATAGCTAGATTTTTGGCAGTCTGAGTGACGTACCCTTGCTGTGAGTAATTCATCGCAATTTGAATGATATCCAAACATTTTTTACGTCTATGTTCTACTATAATGCTTGCTTGCTCTTGAAGAAATCTTTCCAGATCAAAAATCTTTTCCTCGTCTTTATAGTCTATCGTGATATATTTTCTATACATTTTCAAATCTAGCAATAGATCATTCAAACCCGCATGCATTATTTTAGCTTGAATGAAATCAAAATTTAAATAAAGCTGCGGAAATTCCTTAAATAATTCTGCTTGCTCCAAGTGATAACCAATATACGAGTAAATATAATTATCATTTGGCAATTTTGAGAAATCTTTATTGCAATATTTGCAATATCTTCGAATAATAAGCTCGTGCATCAGTTTCAATTCACGTTCAGTGTGTTTTTTCCTAAGATGGCATAATAATAAATCATGCACACCATAAATATATGATTTTAAAACCTTATTCCACTTTGTGACAGCAAGTGATTTATGGCACAAATCCACCATTAATTCTTGAACTTCAAATATGTTTCGCTCCCAAAAAATTTCTAAAGTCTAAAAAATTTAATATTAAATTTAATAAGAGCGAACATGATGTATGTAAGAAATTCTGCGTCAATTTAATAATACCTTCGGAGTTATGTTAACATCTTCACGAAAAATAACTAAGCTCTCGTAATGTTTTCTCAAATCTGGTTTCAATTGTTCAATACATATATCAAAAATAGTTTTTTGTTTTACTAGAAATTCTCTCATTACTCTGTAACAGATGATATAAGCAATGCAATTTTAATTATTTATAACATCAAATATCATATATAACTCACTTGTTTCTAGCATCTTTTTTCCTCAAAGATTCTAGGTAATATCTCCATCTATCAGGCTGTACTCTCATGTCATATTTAAATTCTTCAAATTGAGCAGCAAACATGGCTATAAGTAATGGCATTCCTTTACATTCCTCATGAATTCTTTTTGCTTCTAAAGGCAATTCATTCACGTCCATTTCCAATACTTTGGCAAATAAGCCTAATGTTTCTGTTTCTGTAAATCCGTCATTCATCTGAAAATGACACATTATTTTATTAGAAAAGTAATAATTTATTGTAATAATTACAAATTACAAAAATAATAAAAGATTTTACCTCTATTATTGTAGGTCTTTTCTCATATAGAACATCAATGTCAGCAGTAAGAACGAGAGTCTTACATTTAAAGTCAAAAGTATTAATAATCTTTTTATCATAAACATCATCTAAAATTAATAGAGCGTTGCAATTACGTTGTTTACTAAAATAATATTTTAAATACTGAATCAGAGAATCTTTCGCGAGTGGAGTAAATGTCTCTGGTTGAATTTCTAAATTTCGTACATTATGGTAAAGTGTATTCAATTGGATTAATATTTCTTCATCGATTAAACGATCACACGCAAATGTAATCCAGTAGACTTGATTCTAAAATAGAAAAGAAAACATTTTCATGCAAAGTATAATATTTTAATATTGTATTCTAATCAATAAAAAAAGTCATACAGAAAATAAATCTTTTACTAGTTTCACATCTTTCAAAGTACTGGCGGCTAGACATGATTTTCCAAATCCTTTCATGCCATGTAACACAATGTATTCTGTGGGATTTAATTGTTGTAAAGCTATCTTTAACTGTTTAACCTGCAGATATAATACATTATAAAATATATATTTTGTATAACATTATATAATATATATTTTGTATAATATCCTCTCGTTTACATTATAATTATGTAATATAATTCACTATAAATATATGATGAAAAATACTGACAAGTCTAAACTTACACGATATATGTTTCCATACGTGTGCATAAAAAGAAACAATTAAACTAAATAAGAATTAAATTGTCTTACAACGAATTACATCTATGTATCATATGATTAAATATGTTATTAGACATTTTAAAGCACAAAAGCCAATTTTTTTCTTTACATTATTAAAAAATTATTAAAGATTGTTAAAGATTATTTAAAAGCTAGATAGCAATAATAAAATGCCTATTATAATAAATAATATGTATTATAGAGGTAATTGTGAGAAATATCAGATAATAATCAATACCTCATAGTTCATCAATCTATCTTATCATTGTCGCTAAAACCGTAATTGAGAGATAAAGTCAGAATGACTCATATCACATTATCTAAATATATGGATATATAATGCAGATAATTATACCTTCTCTTCTCTGGTAACCGTCAATGGAGAATGAGGTGGGATATTAGGAGGTCCAACATAATCTATTTCTCCATTAGTTTCTATTTCATAATTGCCTAATAATTTATCTATTTCATCGCTAAGCCACTCGTAGTGATGCTTTAACGAGCTATGAAATTTCTCAAAAGCATCTGGACCACATCTTTAAAAAAATGTTAATTTAAAAAAATGTTAAACGCTTAATAAAATTGCATAAGCTGCATTGTTAAACAACAAAAGTGCAAGTTATGAAGATAACATAAAATTGCGTCATATAAAATTGCTAATCATTAGTAAGTACGATAACATTAATTTAAAAAAAAATGTGAGTGTAATATTTTTTTTTGCAACGATAAAATATAAATATACATAAATATACGTACCGTGGTAATATATCTAATAAATTGGCTGCTCTTTCTTCTCTAGTAGCGCCTGCATAAATACGTTTTAGATCATTTTCTCGTAAAATGTATTCACGTCTTAAAGGTTGTACAACATCATTATCTACATCTAAATCATCAATTATATTCTTTCTCAAATGAGCAAGAATATCTTTATGTGATTTTTCCATTTTTATAATCAAAATTTCTCGATGCAAAATCTCTTAATTAGAAATTGCTACGAATTTCAACGAAGTCTGAAATAAATAATTATCGGTTTTAATAAGTTTTATCATTTTGATATTTAACAATAAATGTAACTTATAATTATAAATATATGCTAATCTTTTAGAACTAAAAATCAGCAAGGACAAGGAAATTGCAAAAAAAAAGAAAATAAATTTTGAGTTAAAAAAAATTTCCACAATAGTCGAAGTGTCTTTATTTATCTAAATTATTTATTTTACTTACTTATTTAATTGCCATTACATATCTATGGTCAAGTTTACAAAATGGCAGATTAAATTTAAAATGATAGATTAAAAATGGCGGATGTAGCCATTTTGTGAATGCTCTATGCTTATACTCTGAATTTGAGATTAATGTTTATGGTATATGTTTTTGGACTCGCAAATTGCAAATCTCAGATTTTAAATAATAATAAGGAAAATAATAGTAAAGAAAAAGTAAATACAGAATATTTCTTATAATCCAAATATTAACATAACATGTTTGTTTCATAAATGAAAACCTTTTTTCTACTTACATATATTTTTTATTTATGTTAGTACTTAATGAAAAGATTTTGAATATAGATTTAAAAAATAGGCATATTATTCATAAATAGATAAATAGATAGAAATAATTTTTTTTATATTTAATAAACTGTATCGGAAATCTCAAGAAAGATTAGAAAATTTACTTACAATAACTTAAATTTTGCAATATTTACGTCCATTATATATTCTTATTCGATTTTATAATGTTGATTTTATAATAATAATAATATGTATAATTATTTTAAAAACTTATTGTGGATCGATGCTTATACAAGAAAGAAATTATCTACTTGATGGTCGCCATATTAAATTCGCCCTTTCAGATTTCAGAGTTTTGATGCCGTACTTGCATCGAATAACTATAAAACTTATAAACACAATATTTACATGATTCATTGTCTAGAGGAAAAAGAATGTTTCCTGTAGACGATAAATCACGTAAATATTGTGTTTATAAGTTTTATAGTTCTTCAATGTAAATACGACATCAAAATCCCGAAATCTGAAATGACGAATTTAATATGCCGATCATCAAGTAGATAATTTTTTTTTTGCATAAGCATCGATCTACAAAGAGGAAACTACTAAGAGGAAACATTCTTTTTCCTTTAGACGATCGCGATCGCGTAACAAATGTTTCAAATGTTATATATAAATGCATTGCATCATATATTAAATATATATAAATTTTTCTAGAGCAAAATTTTTACAATTTCAGGAAAAAAACTCGCGGTCCCTTAAAATTTGAAAAAAAAAAAAACAAAAAATAATATAAGAAGTTAAAGAATTTACTTAATTACAACAAGAGTTATTTAAAAAAGTGTTCATACATTATTTAAATGTTTTAATATATATTTAATATTATAATAAAAAACGTGTAAATTAAACTGTAAAGTTCTTAGACAACTCGTTTTATAATCAAAGATATATTTATTTACACAGTTTAATAGCTAGATAAGCACTTGCGTTTTGTTACAAGAAAAATATGTAATTATGAGACTATTATCTCAATTGATTAGAAAACGCATTATTCACATATTGCAAAGTGTCAAAAGGAAAAAAATATTTAAAAGGAAAAAGGAAAAGAATATTCAAAAGAATATTGCCTTATATAATTAAGTATGTAGTTAACACATTAATATTTTTGTTAAGCGAACAAATTCTATATTGCATAATGCATTTTCTACTAAAAAAAAAAAAAAGAGAAAAATATATTCCAATATTTTATTCATCATTTTGTCCATTTTTCCTGGTTAGTAAATTATTTTCAATTGTTTTATTTTAAATAAAAAGTTGCACTTTTTATTTATAACTTTTTAATATTGAATTCAACAATGTTGCAACAACAGCGTTAAATACAGCGTTACTAATTTGTCTTTTATATTACAATTTTCAATACATTGTAAAATAGAAACTAATAGCGAAAAAAAAATATCACGAAAGAAACGCGAAAAAACGCGAAAATTTTTTACATCGCGCGTATCGTGAATAATACCGCGGATATCACGGACGTAACACGAGTCAATGATCTCGAGAATCTCCAGTCGTAATTTGGTCGATGGAGGAAGGACACATGACGGAATTTTGTCTGCGATGAATAATAAAAAAAAAAATCCCATAGGAGCATTAATGTTTTAATGTTAAATACAAATTTTTTCTTTTCTCTTTTTCGTTTTACTTTTATATATTTATTTTGAATGGAATATACTGTTTTTTTTCTCTACTTACCTTTTCTATCCTCTTCTCATATACTTCCCGAAATCACCATGTTAATATTCGTGACTGATGGTTCTCATCTCCTTTATTTGGAGAAGATTTATGTAGCCCCACACACACAATTCTTTTCTCTTTCCTCAAACTATCCTTCTTTCTTTAAACAAACGTTACTGCTCCGTTTGTCATATTCACATTATCACATTCCGAACATGTTTCTCTCTTAGATAAGAGAATATCTTTTATAAGACGAGTTAGCTCTTTGTTCGAAAAAAAATCAAGTGATTTCCTTCCAAGATGACTACAAACTCACGGCACAATTGACAAATGAACACTGACAAACGAACACTGACTGAACAGGTACTCTCATTCGCGCACCCGAGTTGCATACGATGTTGCCGATATTTGCGCTATTGCCAGATCTCTATCACTTTGCACTGCTTCGCGGCATGACCACTGTACTTCTGCCATCTATGCTTTCCTCCAGGGGACACGGACAATGCAGGGAATTGAATACAAAGACACTTGATGACCGTATTCTTGTCAAAAGTTCTCTAAGGAACAGGTAGAAACATATTAGATGCATATTTTTGTTCCTCTACTTCAGTCATTTATATTCACAAACAGCGTAAACCTGACAAACCGAACCACCATAATCAGCCAGTCATGGTAATATGGCGGTTCACATTGGCGATGGTAGGAAAGCAACGGTGCTGCACCCTCTATATGTTACTGCAGTATATTTGGAACAAGATTGAAATAATCGAAGTTTAATTTTAAAATAATTATTTCCAGATAAGATGCTAATGAAGATGGATAAATCAATGCAAAAAAGTGATAGTACGTTGTAAGATAAAACGAGTATTAGGCATAATTAGAAGTTGTAGTCCCGTGTATTTAAATAATTTCGTTATTTAAATAATTAGTAATGTAAGCACGTAGTCGGCGACAATAACAAAAAATACATATTAAATCTATATGAATTAAAAAAATTATTAGATATCGCAATGGCCGTAAATGTCTCTTTCTCTTTCATATATGTACTAAAACACTGTCGCTCTAAACATGAATTTATATTTAAATAGTAGCTTTATTATTTTTATTAATATTTATGAATTATCAATAAACAGTTTATTACGAAATGTACAGTGTCTGTTATATTCTACAATCAAACCACAACACGATCCGATATGGTCTAGTGGCTAGGATACCTGGCTCTCACCCAGGAGGCTCGGGTTCGATTCCCGGTATCGGAATTTAATTTTTGTTTTATATATTTTACATGTAACTGTTAATAAATATTTTAAATAAATATTTAAAATAAATATAAAATAAATGTGTAGATTGAAATTTTAAGTATAAGACAATTGGAGTGTTATCTAAATGATCATGCAATTAAAAAAGATGGACTGTTTACAAACTGAAATAATTGCAATTAAAATTGCATTAGTACACATGCTATTATATATAAAAAAGTAAGAGAGATGTCAGATTTTTAATTTTATCCTCTATATTAAATTTATTCTTATTATAGTTATTCGAAATATATGTATCAATGCATAATCATTCTGTGTATAGATGTAATAAGACAGATTCAACGAGAACTTTATTGTAACTAGTTGACAAAAATTAATCTTTGTAAATTTTTTGTGCTAACAAGTAATATCTTGATGTATTTTTAAATAATAATATTAACATATATTAATATATTATAGTTTAAAATACATAATAATTATAATTGAGTTATTATAATTTACATTTTTATGTAGAAATTGAATTGTTATATATAATGTGATTGTCGCGGAATAATTATCGTTACGTTAAATATTAAATTCGATATTTTCGATATTTTGTAACATAATATAATAAAAAAAATTAATATATTTGTCAAAAAATAAACCCTGCGATGGCCGGGAATCGAACCCGGATCAACTGCTTGGAAGGCAACTATGCTGACCATTACACCACCAT